TTCAATCCCGGAATTTCGGGATCCAAAAATTCTAATCCCGGGATCCCGGGATTTTTCGGGATTTGGGCTTTATCACAACTTTTGCATTTAACAGTAGGTTCGCCTTTTTTAAGCCACACAGATTCATTGTCACCGTTTTTGGTCTTACAGGGAGCATAATGCACGTTAGTAAAAGAGTCCGTAATTTAATGTCTAAATATTTTTAATAGTATTCTTAAATATATATATTGATTGTAAAAACTCTTTACTAATATCTGCAGAAATTTATTTTACACAAAACGCCAACAAAATAATATGAGGAACAACCCTTCCACACTGTAAAATCTTGTTGTGTTATCAATTGCTACCAGATTTTTCGTTATTATACAATTCTTCCAGAAAATGTTTGAACAAGTACAGTAATTCAGGCAGGTTCTGAGATTCATGTCTAAGTGCAAATGGCACAAGTTTACTTTGAATCAAAATTTTGATGTTCTGTATATCTAGTTTTTCATGTCAAATTAATTAATTTTTTCGTTTTCAGCATCTCTTTTATTCCGTAAATAACTCAGTAAAAATCTCGGGATCCCGGAGCTGTAATCCCGGGATTTCGGGACATGGAAAAGTGTCCGGGATCCCGGAATCCCGGGATTCTGGATCCCGGGATTGAATGCCCTAGTATGAACGCACCCTAACGCGCACCAGGATCTTTGGCACTCAAGCTTGGAAAATAATCGTGGGGAAAGTATATTGGCTGAGAAGACAGACGATTCGTCATTCTTTACCATGAACGGCGCACATACCAGGTTTCTGGGTAGTTGTAACAGCCCGCCAGACCTAATAATAGCTAGCACGGGTCTGATAAACAGCATAGCTTGGCGACCTATGCTAACGCTAGCATCGGGCATACACATAATCATCGCAATCATTCATCAACATAATAGCCTTTCAAATCTTTTTTTCTGGTAAAAAACGTAAAAGAACGATGAATAATATATTCAATCCTGAAAAACCTGTAACCTATCAGCCCTGGCGTTGCCATATGGCAACAGGATATATCCCACGAGCCAGGACACCTACCGACGTTCTTTTTTCGTTTATTTCTTATTTATGGCCCCAATGAACGATCCTGAAAAAAATCAGCTAAATATATTCACAAACAAACTTCTGGGTTATTCGGGTTAATCGTTTGTTTCTATAACTTACTTATTTGATGTCTGATTTCTATAAATTATATGCCGTTGTAAAGGTATTAAAAAGCCTACATTCCTTCTCCAGAAAAGAATATCCTATAATGTCAAACTATGTAGCTATTTCTGAAAGCGGCACCCTGTAACCAATAGTAAGAAGCTTAAAAAAATACTTGCAAAGTTTATAAGATCTGATAATAGCTCTATTTATACCAATGTAGACTTTCTAAATACCTTTACAAGGGCGTACAATTTATAGAAATCTGACATCAAATAGAATGTTATAAAAACCCGATATAGCTGTTTTTACAAAGCGCAAAAAAAATTACACTCTTGAAATCTATATATCTATATATATAAAATAATAGCCGTTTTCGTTGTTCGGAGTTAACTCAAAAACTACTGCATAGATTTCAGTCAAATTTTCAGAGGTTATACCTTGCATATATGGTCCTATTATAGGCTACCAGAAAACTCGGTAGGTGGCGCTGGGGTCGAGTTATTTATAAAAATCGTATTTATGAACCGATTTTTTTTTAATTCAAAACAGCATGATGGCAAACACGTTTATTAAAAATAGACCCGGTAGGTGGCGCGGGAGTAGGGTTATTTATAAAAGTCTTATTTATGAACCGATTTCTTTCAAAATCAAAAGGCATAGTTTCAGCATAATGGAAAATACGTTTACCAAAAATAGATCCGTTAGGTGGCGCGGGAGGCGAGTTATTTATAAAAGATGTATTTATGAACCGATTTCGTAAGCATGATGAAAAAAGCATTTGCGAAAAACGGACCCGATAGGTGGTGCTGGAGTCGAGTTATTTATTTCAAAAGGACCAGCTTTAGTTTTCAGCACTTTATTATTCTGAAACTCGCGGACTGGCACTTGTGTACCCTTCGGTTTCTTTTTCTTTTCTGCCCTTTTCGTTCAACTTTACTCGCTACTTAGTGGGCGCATCAATGTATTTGAAAAGCCTTCATCTGATTGGCTATCACCCATCTGGTGACATAAAATACAATGTTGCCACAGGTGCATTTTTTAGCTTTACATTCCTTTACTTGCTAAGCTAATCTTATTCTATGACACATGACGTGTCATCACCCCATTGACTAATCGCTTCACTCGCTACTTGTAAGGTGGCGTTGCCACACTCTCAATTCAGTACAACTTAATTCTTATCTTCTATGACATCTCACTTCATCGAGTCGCCAGATGGCCGCAAAAGCATTCTACTCATAAAAGCGACTATTTGATTAGACAACATTTACACTAGTCATTTATAGTAAGTGTGGCCAAATTCGGGTTTCGGCAGATTACAGCATCGGCCAACCTGACTTTATAATCGACCTCGATTACGTTAGGGTTGTCCTTATAGTTATTCTCTACAAATAACACTGTGGAACAAATTCAGGTTAGCAAAAGTTAAGTCGATTCTGAGAGTGAGGGGTGAAAATAGAGGCTAAATTAAATTTTCTAATTTAGCCTCTATTTTCACCCCTCACTTTTGCTAACCGGAATTTGTTCCACAGTGTAATCTTGTTACATATTTCTACTTTTACATTATTAACATTTCGGGCGTGTAGTAACAAAATGCGGTATTGAGTGTCGCCTAAATGGGGACGAAAAGGGCCATTCAGATCGTTTATGCTTTGATTAGCCAGTTTTTTATGCGCGACGCTTCTACGATACCGTCGTAAGGCAGCTGAGTCAACTGGCAATTCTCTGTCTCTAATTACATACCGGCCGTGAGGCAGAATTTTATGGATCACGTAAGGGCCCCGATATTTCGGTACCAACTTTTTATTGGTGCCGACAGTCGTGTCCACGTTGCGTATAACCACGAAATCGCCCACAGCGTATGTCTCAGGGGGCTTGCTGCGTTCGGCAAAGTGCTTCGAGTTATATTCTTGTGACTTTTCGATAGCGTCAAGAGCAGACGCTTGAGTTGCCTCGAGGTCACACGCGCAGTTAACTTCACGTTTATCTTCGAGATGTTCCGTCAGTTTGTCAACTATCGTACCCCTCTGTTCTACGCCAAATAGTAATGTGCTGGGCGAGTGCCCAGTGGTGGAGTGTGTGGTATTATTTAGACTATATTCTACCTGGCCAAACATGGTGGACCAGTTGGCATGATTTACCGGCTCACAAATTTTGCTTAGAATGGCTTTAATGACTCTGTTTACCCTTTCCACCTGCCCATTCGCTTGCGGGAAGCAGTGGCTACCTTCACATGGGAAATATCGTTTTTAAATAAGTATGCGCTGAATTCAAGGGAAGTGAAGCACGAACCGCGATCGGATATTAGACGTTTTGGTCTGCTGTAATAGCTGAAGTATTTATCGAGGCAGGCTATAACCTCCTTTGTGCTAGTTGAGTTAACTGGATATAGGCGAACAAATTTGGTGAACGCGTCAATCACGACAAGGACATGTTTGCGTTTTGCGGTTAAACATAGCAACTGTTTTTCTGGGTTCATCATCAGAAGCAGCAACGATTGACTCGGACTTATCAGCAGTTCCCGCTTTCGGGCAACGGCTAAGCGCGTCAACGTGAGTCATGTTTGCGCCACCTCTGTGTTGGATGGAGTAATTGTAGTTCTCCAATTCCAGAGCCCACCTAGCTATTCGCGGATTAAGCTGCTTTTTACTTAGCGTCACTGTGAGCGAGTTGCAATCCGTGATTATCTTAAAAGGGATTCCCTCTAAATAAACTCGAAAACGACGTAGTGCATATATAATGGACAGGGTCTCTAACTCAAAGCTGTGGTATTTTGCCTCGGCGTCTGTTGTGGCCTTCGAAAAATATGTAGCCGGGTGTAAACGACCGTCAGATTGTTCTTGGAGTACAGCAGATCCGAAACCTGCTGAGCTTGCATCGCAGTGTAGTTCGGTTTGTTTCTTAGGGTTGTAAATAGCAAGTACTGGTGCAGACGACAGTTTTCCCTTAAGCTCCTCAAAAGCCTGCAGGCACTCCTCCGTTAGTCCAAATCTAACACCTTCCCGTGTCAATCGTTGCAACGGTCTTGTAATTCTTGCAAAGTTCGGAATGAACTTTCTAAAGAACGAGAACAGGCCTAGGCAAGTTTTCAGTTCTTAGTAATTTTTTGGGAGCCGATATTTACGGATCGCGTCTACATGCGCATCGCTGGGGCGTATACCCTCTGAACTAACGGAATATCCTAAATACTCAATAGAATTGAAACCAAACTTGCATTTGCTTAACCTAAGTTCCAGCCCCTTCTCCTTCATTCTTCTAAGGACTTTACCTAATAGATCTACGTGGACTTCGAAATCGGCTGTGGCTACAATGATAACATCCATATATACCATTATTGACCCATCATCGATTAAATCTTTGAAAATGTTGTGTACATATCGCTGGAATACCGCGGGCGCATTCTTTAATCCAAAGGGCATACGAACGTATTCGAACTGACCGTAAGGCGTGACGAAAGATGTATATTTGACGGAATCGGGTGCCATTTTCACGTGAAAGAACCCGTTCCGCAGGTCAAGTGTCGAGAAGAACCTTTTTTCGCCTAGATAATCGAGGCAGTCCTCGATTAGTGGAAGCAGGAAGTTGTCTCGTACCGTCAGTTTGTTCAGGGGGCGATAGTCAACGCAGTTGCGGATCTCACCGTTTTTCTTTTTAACTAATACAATCGCGGAAGCATAAGGGGAACCACTAGATCTAATTATATTTTTCTGCAATAATTCATCAGTTATTTTCCTCAATTCAACTTTTTCATAATGCGACAGTCTTCTGGGTGCCGAATGGAATGGTTTGTCATGAAGCAACTTTATTTGCATCTCGTAACTGTATGGTTTTAATTTGATATCTTCTGATTTCAAATAGTTACACTCGAAAGTTTTTTCTAAGGTGTCGATATCCTTTGCTTCTAATCCCTGGTTTATGTTTACCTCAGTTACGCAAGCACTTAGTTCTCCTGAGTTAACCTCATCAAAAAATTTATCGAAGGGGCATAGGCCTTCGCTACAGGACCCCTGAGACATCGCGTCAGCTTTTGATTCATTCACATAGTCTATCTTGTTCTAATGTCCATTATCGTATGGTTCTGAATAACCCTTTTTACCCTGAACACTAGCAGTACCATTCAAGTTAAGCGCACAGAAATACGATTTTCCATATAGCAAATTATCTTTTGCTTCGTTTGAATGCTTTATGAAGTTCATGTTTGTTGTATTGCTCAGTGAGCACAAGTGAATGTTAAATTCTCTTAGAAAGTCTCGACCCAAAATTAGCGGAATTGTCATTGTATCATCAGGCACAATATTCAAAACAAGAGATTTTATTTTATTTTTGAACTTTATTTCAGTTTTTATTTTTCCATATGTTAGCAATCTATAACTTCCTAAACCTCGATAAATTGATTTTGCAGCGGTTCCGTCAACCTGAACTGGCACGGCGGACCTCCGAATAAAGCTAACCGGACTACCGGTATCGAAAAGAGACATAATCTTTAAATTCTGTGCATTTAACTTGCTTGGTCAAATAGGCGACACTTACCATATTCATAGACCCCAACTGTTGGTAACAATAGTCTTCATCCCTGTTGTCGATTACTGCGGCTCTGCTCTTCTTTAGTGCTAGATTCTTCTTCGGATAGGTGCAGATTCGGTGGTCATGGCCCATCTTCCAGCAACGAAAGCAGCTTCCATCAGGCCTTTTCTCGTATGGCATTTGCTTTGGAAGTGCCCCATGCGAGTGCAGTTGAAGCACCGTACCTCGGCGACTTCGGCTTCTTCAGGTTTGGGCGTGCTTGACTTTGTTGGCTTTGATTTGGTAGCAGCCTCTCGGTTATATAGCCGACAAGAGCGGCGTCGTTCATACAAATCCAACGACTCCTTAAAATCTTTCATTGTTCGGGCATTCATTAGTAGATAGGCCTCGGGCGAGTTGTCTTGCAATCCTTCTACAATAAAGTTGATCAGCTCGAATTCATCGACATAGTCGCATCGGGCAGCGATGTTTTCCATCTCCAAAACGTATCGCCGAACGCTGCACTCTTTGTCCCATTTATGGTTAGCCAACGCCTTGTAGACTTCGTTGCGGCTCACCACTCGACCGAATTCGGTGATCAAAAGCACATCTCTGGTTAGCAATAGCTTCGCGTCTCCGGTGATGGTGTTGCACAGACACGTATACCTAAAGATGTCATCAGCGTTCACCATCTGCACGACTCTTTCGCAGTTGCGTATGAAGTCATGCACACTGTATGCTCTGTTCTCACCATCAAATTTCGTAATGGTATGCTCAATGTCACGAAAGGTCAGACGGCTTGACATGTTGGACCAGATGGACCCGACGGCGCTATCGTAATTTGTTTCTTGGCACTCGCGCCTCAAATTGGCAACGGACTTTTGCAGCAGCAGTAATTCTTGTTCCTTTTGTAGGATTGCTATTTTGCGATCTAAGTCAGTTTCGCTGATCTCGAGTTTCTTGCTTGGGTCGAGGGTATGTTCGACCACATTAATGTTAGTAGCGGCTGCGGTTTTGCTGTCAGCGTCGTTGTTCACAGCGGTAGCAGCGGCGATGGAGTGCGAATTTACGGTTTTAGTGGCGTCTTTGTTGGTAGCGGCGGTAGTGGCATCTTTGCTAACTTCAGTGGCGGCGGTGGATTCTTTAGTAATAACAGCGGCGGTGGTGACATCTCCGTTAATAGCAACGGCGGTAGTGGCATCTTTGTCAATAGCTGCGGTGGTGGTTAAGTCTTCGTACGTTTTGAAGATTTTAGTGGCATCGGTGTGATAGGCAGCGCCAGTATTTGCAGCGCCAGCAGTGATCTCGGCAATATTAATCTCCTGGCCATCGATTTTAATCGGGTCGCGGAAGGTAGCTTCCTTTTGTACGGCAAACAATGAGCGCGTAACTGGTCTGCCTCCGACGGAATTAGGCATCTTGCTTATCTGTTCCAAGTTGAAGGTGGGCTGGGTGACCCCACATCTGAGCTTTAAAAGGACCAGCTTTAGTTTTCAGCAGTTTATTATTTTGTAACTCGCGGACTGGCACTTGTGTACCCTTCGGTTTCTTTTTCTTTTCTGCTTTTTTCGTTCCACTTTACTCGCTACTTAGTGGGCGCATCAATGTATTTTAAAAGCCTTCATCTGATTGGCTATCACCCATCTGGTGACATAAAATACAATGTTGCCACAGTTGCATTTTTTAGCTTTACTTGCTAAGCTAATCTTATGCTATGACACATGACGTGTCATCACCCCATTGGCTAATCGCTTCACTCGCTACTTGTAAGGTGGCGTTGCCACACTCTTAATTTAGTACAATTTAATTCTTATCTGCTATGACATCTCAGTTCATCGAGTCGCCAGATGGCCGCAAAAGCATTCTACTCATAAAAGCGACTATTTGATTAGACAACTAGTCATTTATAGTAAGTGTGGCCACATTCGAGTTTCGGCAGATTACATTATAAAAGCCGTATTCATGAACCTATTTTGTTAATACACATTCGAATGATGTTTTTTTTTTACTTTTCGCTTTTGGTTTCCATGTACTTACTATGGGGGGATCAAAATTTTCGCGTGAATGTTTTTTTTTCGGGCGAAACTCAGGATAAGGAAGATTACATACATAAAATGATAGCCATTTTCGGTTTTCGGACAAACTCCGAAATTGTCGGAAGTCATTTTATAGGCTACTGGAAAACACGCTGGTGGCGCTGGAGTAGAGTTACTTATAAAAGTCGTATTTATTAACAGGTTTCGTTCAAATTCGCAGCGTGACTACCTGTATGATGACAAATTCCTTTGCTAAAAATGGACCTGCTGGAGATTAGGTATTTAGAAAGTCTGTATTTTTTTATCAGATTGGAATTCATAATTTTGTATTCTTTTCATGACAAGCAAAGGTTTTGCAGAAAAGGGACCCAATGGATGACGCTGCACCCTAAATATATGGAAACCCCCACGGGGTTTGTTTATCTTAGACGAATTTATTTTAAAGATGGCTAAATCAAAGATGCGTTTAAGTATGCATATAAAGACACGTGAGGTTTATCAATGGCTTCATTTGAACGATATTCATGAGATCACACGACTCATTTATCCAATGTACGCGAAAACTTTTCATCCTGTGGGGCAGCGAGGTTTCTTGGCCTTCCTATAATTGAAAACGCTCATCTGTGCTCTTGAGTTTCCATATAAGGACTTTTATTGGCTTACATGGTACACCGGACCAATGCTGAAGTTGCAGGATCATAGAAGAATATTACGCACGCTTGGTAGAGATCTCACAGGCTGAAATAACACCACAGGTAAAACGCATTACATCGAAAGGGATTAGTATTCCATATGGAATCACTATTCTTGGCATATGTGTGAGGAGGATTCCGTTTTCTAGTCGTTTCAATTTAAACTAAAAATTTTTACTTTACAGACCGCTTGTGCTTTTAAACGCTATTTTTGAATTGGCCAACGCAAAAGATCTGATTAGGCGCCGCGAAGAAAGCGGGCATTTGCTAGTACTCTTATATGATATGATTCAAGATTAATTGCAACAAATCGATTTCTTGCCCGTTCGTCGTAATACAGTCTAATGAAGGTAACATTACTTAAAATTGTTTTAAACCTAGAACTATTATATATTAGGTGCAATCCCGTATTCCTCGGACTTGGACTAGTTAAACTGTCAAAAAATAAAAATTCGCTCAGAGCGAGAGAGTAACATTGAAAAGTACGGGATCGCTTTCAAGTAAAAAATGGTAACTTCTGTCAAGTTCAACATAACCTCCAAATTTTGGTTGTAAATTTTTGCTTATTTTGTATGTAAACACACTCAGCTCATACATGTAAATAACCAAAAATACTTTCAAATTCATTAGAATCCACTTAAACAAGTAATGAAATACTTTTCAACATGAATTAGCAGAGTGCACTTTTCTTTTGTTTACAATTTGGTTGCCAAACACACTACAGCTGATCGTTTGACACATTTACCAGAATTTACCAGCAAAAAATTCTCGGAC